GAGTACAGCAATATATCGTGTGCTGTGATACAATATATCGCTGTACTCCTTTTACGTTAACGCAGTTGTATGTGTACGCCTTAACGTAACGTGAACAGAACGTGCACTCCGTATATGAGATAAAGGAATATTTTTACTTTTTTAAACATGGTTTTCTCATACTAATAAGTGTTTAATGGTGTTGTAACACGATGGCCGACCATGATGGCCTATTTTCATTTTCTTTTTCATTTCAAACATATTACTATTGACTATTCATATGTGAAAATGGTGTTAAGTCGTGTTAACTCGACCATGATGGACCGTGATGGACCAAGATGTTTCTAGGAACCTTCTCCATACCAAGAGCTTTCCAACGGTATCTTTGGATCCCAAATCGGATGAACGGTTTGGTGACATACATACATACATACATACAACTCTTTTTTATATATAAGGGAGATGTCCCACATACGGGTCAGCACCACATACGGGTCACCCATACTACCTCATCACAGAAAGCAAATGTGGCCGACTCGACTACTGTCAAATTGTTTTCTCAACCGAGGCAAGTTTTTGGTAGTATTCCGAAGTGAATAGACGTACCTCGTGTGCTAGTTTTATTTTGTCACTTTAAAATTGCTGAAAAAGTACTTTTCCAATTTTTTGCGAAGTGTTATTACGCATAGTTTATCAACCGGAAAAGGTAAGTGTGATACACATAAATTCAGTATTTTTCTTGTATTTTATTATGAAATAAGTGTTTCGAGTGATTTGTGGTCTGAAAATTTTTTTTTGGTGTCATGTTCAAAATGGCGTCTATCCTACATACGGGTCACACAGTGCCACCACATACGGGTCACCTCATTTTTTCAAACGTCATGCATGTTTATGTCACTATAACCTAACGAAAGTGTTTCTATATCATTTTAATAGTGTTTTTATTGATATTTTTGGTGTTTTAGCTATGGCTCCTACCAAAAAGTCGAAAAAAACATCAAAAAAAGCAAAATCAAGCAAATCCGACGAGAAAGTTGATGCTCAATCATTGCTGAAGGCAATTAAGGCATGTTCGCTGCAAACGAAGATGGTATCGGTGAAGAAGATCAACGGCGACTACTTATTGGTGCACCTGATGTAGGTCGAGAAGAGGAAGTGGCATCTGCCGTCGAAGAAGCAGAAGAAGCTTCGACATCAATATCGGCATCGCCATCTATTTCTTCTCTATCATCCTCAACCGCATCAATTTTGGATTCGATTGGTCCAATGTAAGCTGGAACACCGGAACCACCATCAAACCGTGGTCGAAAGCCGATGCAAAGTGCTTTGTTGACTTCTCCGAAAAACCTCGCAAGATAATTGTGACTCGGAATTGGAAGACAACGATGATGAGTAAAATTATGAAAATTTGACATTATCTGTATTCGTTCTTGCCGCTGAAGGCTTTCAAAACAAATAAACGTTGATACTTTCTACATTTTTGGTGGTTTTGTTTCATATTTTAGCGATTTATTTGGATATTTTCAGGTGACCCGTATGTGGTGACATTTTTCAAAATGCCAAAAAATAAGGTCCTCATGGAAACGATCATAATTTGTTATTTTTTGGTCAAATTTGTAAACTCTCTTAGGGAAAAAGTTAGCTTTAGTCATTATCTTTCGAACGGTATAAATAGACCGCAAAAATATATACTCATGCAAAAGTTATAAAAATATGCCAAAGTCTGACCCGTATGTGGGACATCTCCCTTATAGATAATACCTAATAGTTTTATCTGTGTGTCCGCTGTCCGTACTTTTTGTCCGATATTTCTCAAACTTCCAGGGATTGAACTAAGACTTTTTTGTTCTGTCAGTTTTTGATTCAGTCGCCATCTTGACCTTGGTCGGCCTTTAAAAGTCCAAGAAATGGTATTCTTTGCAATGGCCATTGTGTTCAATCCAGTCGACCGATTTTAGACTTTTGGATATCGTTGGAAAGGTTTCGAGGCTAGCTATCGAATGACATCTATTTTAAGTTGAAAAATTGAGTTGGCGTGGCCCAATGGGTGGAAAACCAAAAAAAAATGGTCACCTGGCCTTGCACAAATCGGCCATTTTCTCGAAAACGACTCCAAGGATTTTTTTAATATCCCTTGATTTTAGCCACAAATTAGAGCTAAAATTTGACACATCAAAATTCGTTTTTTCGATATATGACCGTTAGAAGTTGGAAAAACATGAAAAATCGCGAAAAATCGACAAAAAATCATTTTCCTTGCGTAAATGCGGGCGCTACAGTAGTTAAATATTTATCAAAACTATTTTGCGTTGATTATAATGAAATTTCTTAAGATGCTAACCCTTCACAAAGGGTAATTCATAATATCGATTGAAATTGCAGAAAGTTAATCTTTTTCTTGAGATTTCAAATTTATTGTATTCATGATACATAATGGTGGATAGAAATACAAAGTATCCTACTGCACGCAACGACATCGCAGCAGGTGAGAGCATTTGTACCTTGCACCACACAAACTACCTAAAGATCAAGGACAATCTGATGGACAAACAAATCAGAACTAAAGTGCCACAATTGTGCAAATATTCAAATGAAGTGCAAAGTGTCGAATTCGGAAATTCAACCAGCCGTGCATGGTGCATCACGTCGGTACGCAACGAGCAAAGCCAAATTTTTAACTGACAAATTGTTTTTTTACATTCTTACTAAATATTATATAGATTTAATGACGCAAAACTGTGATTTATTCCTTCAGTTTATCGGGGAAATTGTTTAAATTTTCAGAACATACAAATACATTTACCTGAATTGACTTCATCCAGAGGTTCGAATTCTCCATCCGCCCATGAGTCAGTGTTCCAGACAGCATTAGAATTGGAATTTGTTGGACTTGTCATAATATGATTGGATGATAAGCTTGGTAAATCAGTTGGTCGGTTATTTTGATCAATCATTTCTGTTTTCTTTTCATCATACATTTCATTCAATCCAAACTTCGAGTTGATGATACCCGTCGTTAGCTTAATCGATTCTTTCTCTTTATCTTCGTTTTCATCGCGTTCCTCTTCATTCTAATCGTTTAGTAGAATATTGTGTAAATTTGGAATATTAGGTATGATTGGTGTTTATTTGTAGAGGCAAACTTAGAATTCTATAGATAAAATATCAACAGCATAAAATGAAAATCTCTTGCTTTTGCTCAGCTAAATACATTGGAAATAAACACCCTCTACATCAGTCCAAACTATTGGCCACTTGGCCACTTGTTGACAACCGAAAAATTTCAAGTGGTCAATAGATGATTTTGGTGATTTTTTGTTATAATTAGTTTCTAGTCTTTTTTCAGTAAATGATTTGAAATATTAAACCAAATATATTCCGCTTGAAATTTCTTGATTTGCATTCGGAAATTTTAAGTAGTTTGTTTTTGAAAAATAGCTTAAGTTTTCTGGACAATCAAGATTTCTGACCGTCATTTCGTATGAAATTGAGGATTTCGTTTTTCAAAAACCGCTTAAGTTTTCTGCACGATTAAGTTTTCCGAATGTTCACTGTAGTTCAATGAATTTCGGTCGCTACGTTATTTTTCAAACGAAAATATTTGATAGGTAGACCTCCCATTCCTGTTTTTTAAGCGGGAATTTCCCGATTTTCGTCGCCATTCCCGCCGTCCAAATCATTGGACCAAATTCCCAATTTGGGCCGAAATTCTCCCGATTTGACTTTTTTTGAAAAATTTATTCATAATAATATGAATGAAACCTATTATTTAATTCAAGAATTTGCATTTAATACTAAGTGTGCAGTGTACACTGTATGGTCGTTGGAAAATGATAAAATGAAATGACCATAATTTTTATATGGGCATATCTCGACCAAATGACCACCAATTTGGACGTTTTATATCAAGGCTTCGTGATAGCATACCTTAGCACGCAGTATATTTAAGGTTTGGTATAATATAGCAGCATATCGCACACACACACAGCTGTAGCACATACTTCTCTCGCACGCAAACGGTTGCGTTGATAGCAAGTTTTGTTTTTGAGTTGGTTGCGATGGCTGTGTACGCAACCGTTCGCGCGCGAGAGAAGTGCGTGCGGTAGCTGTGTGTATTCGATATGCTGGTATATTATACTGAGCCTTAAATATACTGCCTGCTAAGGTATGCTATCACGAAGCCTTGTTTTATATCAAAATCCACATATATTCCACGAGAATTTTTGAACGACATATAACATGACCTAGATACTACAAAGATACAAAGTGTTCCGTACTCTGGGAGAACGAGTTAATTTTCAGAGTATGTCTTTTTTGTCAATTTTCAAGTTGAAAATTACATAATGTTATTTTTTTCTTGTGACGTAAAATAAATGTTTTTGGGTTACAGATATCATTTTCTCCCAATTTGTTCGGGAATTTTTCGCTTTAGCGGCCAAATTTATGTAAATTCATTGAATTTGGAAAATTCCCGATTTCGGTTCATTTTTCCCGCTTTGGAGTTACGAAATTCCCTACTTGAGCTGAAATTGATCTGGGAGACCTATTCGTAGCGATATTTTTCATATATGGGCGATAATACTGACTGGAACGTCACGCAAAAATTGGTTTTTCGATTTTTTTTTTCATAAATTCTTAGTTAAAGTTGATGTTTATCATTCTCATATGAAAAAAGGCACCAACTTTTTTGTGAATAAAGTTTATACCTAAGTGTCGTAGGCCAAAAGTTATAGCCGTTTAAAAGGGACTGAAACGTCACGATTTTATGGAAAAATGTAACGTTCCAGTCTTTTTTTCGTGACGTAGCCAGTCACTTACCTGCGGCCAGAGACAGTCCAGAATACATTTTTGTGTAAATGCGAGTTTTCCAATCGATTCATCGGACCTTGAACTTCAATATAGTAATTCACATACAAATTCTCTACGCCATATGGGTTGGATATCATCGAAATCCGAAACAACCTCAAAAATCACTTCCAAAAAAGCATGACGTTCCAGTCCCTATGAATCGGCTATAGCTCTTGACCTACGATACTTAGAGATAAAGTTTATCGACAAAAAAGTTGCGTCTTGGTGCCTACTTTCATATGAGAATGTTAAACATTATCCTTAACCTTCAAACCGTGAAATGTATTTTCTAACGTTGTTCGTGAAACCGGTACCTGAGTGCCCATGATGTATTTCAAATTTCAAGTTTGTTCTTAAATTTTTATTTTTTAATCTAAATATTTCAGTATTTATTGATCGAAAAAGTATGAAAATTACTTTGAAATGTGATTAAAGTCATAAAAAATCGCAATATGAAAGACAACAGCAAGTTTTTTGGAATTTTTTCAATAAAGTGGAGATTGCTATGTTGATCTCTTCACGAAAATGAAGGCAAAAACATGTACATACAAATTCCACTATGGACGATTTTGACGTCAAAAATTTAGATTTTGAACGGCAGGTTGGATCAAAAAGTTTTGCATAGCACTAGAAAGGTCTTGAAAAGTAGATGTCATTTTTGGTATAAAACTTCGAAATATTAAAATTTGGCCGTTGGAATTTGTTTGGCCAAAATTGATAAAATGGCCATATTTTTATAAAATGATAATCGATTTTGATTTTTTGTAACTCATACTACATGTACTGTTCAAGATCTTTCCAATGATGTATATTTCATAGTTCCCACATTAATTTTTATACGCAATTTGTCGAAAAATGTATATGGGCATAGAGGCACCCATTTCACGTATAGCGCATCACACATGTTAACGCGCATATGTGGTAAGCTAGTGCGCGTATGTGGGTATGTTAACGCAATTTTTGTAGCCAAATGTTCAACCATAGTTATTTTATTAATTTATGATAAGAAATAATTAAGATATAAGCATTCAAAGTTAGTTTTGGGCATACATTGCCCATTTCACGGTTTGAAAGTTAACTAAGAATTTATGAAGAAAAACAATTTTTTTCTTCTGGTTGACGTTCCAGTAAAAACTGGCGAAAATTCGCCCATATGCATATATGCATGTTTGTTTTGATTGCCTTAGCAGCTCTCGATGAATCATGTCGAATTTTGTTTGTATAACAATGATGCGGCGTGCGTTTTCAATTGTTTATGTTAAAATTTGCCGGCGATTAATTTAATTAAGTCTGTATTTCATAAGCCACAAAATGAAGCGTCCAGAAAGAAACACCCAAAAGCGCCTGAAACAGAAGAAGAAAAATCCAAACAAAATTGGGAACTTCGTTGCTAACTAGGCCAATCGACGCCCGACTTAAATAAACTCACAGGAAATAAAGAATGTCATCCATCGCATTAATGATTGAAAATAAACAAACATCAGGCCCGTAGCCAGGGTTGATTGTATGGGGTGGCATGACCAATTTTTGGGGTGGCGCGTAATTTTCAATTTTTCAAAAGAAATTTTTGATATTTAATATCCCGAAACTTAATTTTACCTTGATTTATTGTAAAAAAAATTTCAACTGTCGTCGATTTCGGCTTTCTTGGACTGGCGGCAAATCATTTTCAACCATAAATTCTGTTGCTTTAATTTCAAATTCGTTGAAACTTTTTTATTTTGTAACTTTTTTATGTCCTCGATGACCAAATCAATCAGTGGGATTGCTCTGACGTAGCTCATTTCTCGCGACTGATGCAATTTATTCGCTGGTTCCAATAAATCTAACACTCTTTTCAAGAATAAGAGCATGTGAATGAATTTTGGCTTTTGAATGACGTGCAATATATGTAAACAATAAATGTCGCAGACGATAAATATTCGTTATAAACAAAAGCCTATCGAGAATGATTTTATAGGTCTCAATATCAAGTCATTATAGAAGATGGAATAAAATAAAATTCAGAAGTCGTTCGGCAATTCGTTTGGAAGTGTATCGTTCGGCTGTTTTCTTGTGTTGACTAATACTATTGAAGAACGTAATGCAACTCATTCTAATTTCAATTCCATGAATTATATTTGCTTCACGATTATTCATATTCAAGCATTTCACTTTCGGCTCTCTAAATGAATTCATTACGATGATTTTATTCCGCATTTTGATTTTTGAGATGACAATGATTTTTGGGGTGGCTGCAATGGAATTGAAATTAGAATGAGTTGCATTACGTTCTTCAATAGTATTAGTCAACACAAGAAAACAGCCGAAGGATACACTTCCAAACGAATTGCCGAACGACTGGGTACGTCTGGCTACGGGTCTGACAAACATTATCATATGTATTTACTGTGTTTTTTGTTTAAAAAAAGTAAATTTAATCCTGTGGCCACGCTGAAAAAAAGTTTGGACAGCACGGCTCTACATAGACAAATGTTGAACTTAAACATTATTGAAGTTGTCGTCAACATATGAATAAAGGTGCCAAAGAAACAAAATTAGTTCGTCCGTTCGTCCGTCCCAGTGCCGAGTTAATGTTTCGTGGTGCCCTGGAGCAAATTTTGTTTTGGTACTCTTTGAAATTTTTTTCGAAAAACTAGTTGCAATTTTACTCTTTGTTTCAAACGTTGCATTCAAATAATAATTTTTGTTGCTATAAGTAACATTTTGTGGTATATATTTTATACGCGAGCGGTAGCGAGCAAGATTTTTTTGAAAAACCGCACTTTTTGGGGCACCATAAAAAACTTTTCAGAGCATCACAATTTTTGGGCACAGCTCCTTGGGGCATCAAAAATTCATATTTGTGGACTTTTCCCAACATTTTTTAAATTTCCTCTCTTTGTGGTGCCCCCAAATACGTGGTGCCCTGAGGCAACTGTCTCAACCGTCTCTATAGTTAACTCGACACCAGACATGTGCAAGGGGGAGTGGTTGCCGGTTTTACCCCCATCTAGGATTTGAAAATCAAGACCCCATCGAGCGATTTTGAATTTTTTTTACACTAGATAGATTCTATTTTGAAAATTGGGGAACTTCTTTTTAGGTCTTCAGTTGTTTTCGACAACGATTTATAAATTTTCAGACCCCCATTGTGGAATTTTGACTGTTTTACACTAGATAGATTCGATTTTCAAAAAAGAGGACCTTTATTTAGGTCTTCACTTTTTTTCTAACATTGACA